ATAACAATACGTCCCGAAACAATGTATGTTTTATCCTCACCTTACCAATCGCTGGCATATAATAACTCCCACAAAAACATACCTTGCTCTCCCCCCACCACCCATCACCTCAACCCTCCCCCCTCCCCCCTCCCCCCTCCCCCCTCCCCCCTCCCCCCTCCTCCCACCCATGACTCGCAAGGGACTGGTCTCCTTTACTAAAAAACAGCCCTCTCCCTTGAAAGCATTGCCATCTTACAAACAACTTGTATCCTCTCAATCGCAACTCACTACCTGCTTATGGTTATGCTCCTGTAGGAAACAAACATCCACGTTCATTACCTTTTGAAGGAACCACTCCCACCATACCTTTTACATCAGTCTTTAGGCCATTAGCATTTATTGTTACACACCTGAATGGCCAGGAAAGGCGGCTTACCTCTGTGCCCCTGTGGCTTGCTCAACACTTCCCTTCAAGCGCTCAACACTTTCCTACTACTCTTTTTAATAATTACCCCATACACCCCCTGTTTCTCCCAGATTTTCCCTGTACTGCCCCCCTGTAGGGGAATTTTCGTACCGCCTTCCTTGCCCATGCCTTCTTACCTGGTCTTTGCCCCAGGTGTTAAAACGTCGTCTAATTCAGTCAACCCCGCTGGCCGTTCTAGAGCGGCCTCCCAAAACCTTCTCTTCTCAGGTACATCCTCCCTGTTTGTACCTCTGCCACCACAAGGTATCTGTCCATTAGTCCCTTTACCCTTATTCTCACTCAGCCCTTGCAATCGCTGCTATCACTGGTCCGTCATCCTGTCCTCTCTACCAAAGTCTCTCCAAGAATTCTTGGAGCCAAACTCAAAGGACAACCTCCTGTATCGACTCCGACACTTCCTCCAACCACCACAAGGCATTGGAGGAGAACTCCATCTCCACCGGGGAGTGTGACCACACGTCCCCATCTGTTCTCCCTCCTCCACCTCCTTCACTCCATGGAGGAGTCCCAGTTTTCGCCGTCGCCCCCCACACTCGTTGCTGGACCTCCTCCACCGGGGCTGGCACCCTGGGGCAAATCTACGTGCACATTGCGCCGCTATATGTTCATAAGAGTGCAATGACGACATCCTCGTTTGTCCAGCATAAGACAATACCTGAGTTCTGTTGACTGTCAACATCACATACGAAGGTATAGGCTTCTTTAATGTCATCTTGATGTTGATGAACCTTCCGGAAGGCCCTCTTGGTCCATCCCGCCATATCCCTCCTCTAGCATCATGAATGACCTCCGTAGTTGTGAATAACGTCTCTATACCAAACTTGGTTCGCCTCAAGGGTCATTTCTCACCCTTTACCACGTTAGTAAGTAGACACGTAATGCATACACAAATCCATCGTCGAGTTGAGGCACATTCGGAGTGCCTGGTTACTCCTTCCACCACTCTGCTGTTTAGAAGATATGGCCTCAGAAACTTCACAAATACTCTTTCATCCCGTTAGGGCCACACCATACAAGTTCCTCGTTTTGGGATGCCATATAGATCCCTAATAATTGCAGAAGTAGAAGTACGTTCACCGTAGCACGGCTCAGAGAACCCCTTAACAGCTCAATGCAGACTGTGTTAATCCTCCTGCCGGTGTAATCCGCCATGTTTGATCAGTGAAAACTGACTGGTGTGTATTGTATGTGAGTTGTAGTGTACCAGTTACTGGTGTGTATTGTATGTGAGTTGTAGTGTACCAGTTACTGGTGTGTATTGTATGTGAGTTGTAGTGTACCAGTTACTGGTGTGTATTGTATGTGAGGTGTTACGAAGTTTAGGTGGACCAAGGGGGGAGGGGGAAGTAAAAGGAAGAAATACAATGTATTTACAAATAATCCACTCAAGGGACACACTCATAACTTCACAAAAACACTAAACACTTGGTCACTTGTTTAGGTTTGATCATCAGGAAGGAAATAAACTCACCTTAAGAAAAATAAATATCACCAAAACTGCCTTCAATACATTTCACATATTACAAAAATACAAATACAATAGTTCACTGCTACACGTTAATAAAGTTAGCCTCACATTATTATTGCAAAAAAAAAAAATAGTTGCCAAACCTATACGGGTCATAATTAGGCACCTGTGGAATTGCCATATTCTTACCAGCTTTCAAGCTGCTGGTAAAAATGTTATTATTTTTGTATTTTCCACAATTTACACTGGCCCCATTTAAGAATAAACAAAATCCCAAAAGCAATCAACGGTATAAAATTATACAAATAGTTGAAAGAACTTAACTTCCCATCGTGCAGTTGTAAAGAGGTACATTGTACGTCGGTACTATGAGACCAAACATAAACCAAGTTATTTCGATTTCACAGGAACAGCGTTCGAAAAATTTGAATCAATTCAATGCATGTTGCTTTTCCAACAAGGTTTTTATATATACAGAAGAGAACTGAAAATGAAGCTGCAACAGGAGTTACAAAGTAGCTTTTGCGTTAGTTAAAGGAGAAAAGCCATTCACTGATTGAGATGTGATCAAGGAGTTTATGATGGAAGCAGTGGCAGAGTTATGACCAGAAAAAGCAAATCTGTTCAAAATCTTCAGTCTTGTGCCAAATACCCAAATACCCTTATCCTTAATTCTACATGTTCCTAGAATTAAGGATATAAGAAGCGATATATTTCAACAAACTGCAGACAAAGAACGAAATTTACAGCTCTATTCTCTCGCACTTGATGAATGGAATGATGTGAGAGACACATCACTGGTATTCATCCCTGGCGTCGACAGTTGAATTTAATATCACACAAGAATTAGGATGAATACACAGGATGCACAAGACGGAGATCAGGGAAGACATCTTCAAAGATATGCAAAAAACTGTGTTAGAATATAACCTGGAGTGGAATGAACTCCAGTGTGTGACATCTGACGGAGGAAAGAACATGTCTGAGGTGAAGAAAGGTTTGGCTGGACAAATCACAAAAGCTTGTGAGGATGGTGGATTCTCAAAGCCCAGGTTTCTGGACTGCGTTATCCATCAGCAAACATTGTGTGGAAAATATGTGGATATGTCTTGTGCTCTGAAACCTGTTCTTTCAACAGTGAATTTCATTCAGTCTCACGGGGTTAAATCGCCAAGTTTTGTGATTTTCTGAATAAACTGATTCTGAGTTCGTTGACTCGCCTTATTATACAGCAGTTCGATGGTTTAGTTGTGGTCAGGTTCTTTTACGGTTCTTTATTTCTCACAGAAAAGAATCGACCCGAACCACTTTTATCAAGCGCTGACTGGCTTTGGAAATTACCATATTTTACAGACATGACAAACCATATGAATCAATTAAATCTGAAGTTGCAAGGTGAAACAAAATTGATTTGTGATTTATTCATGCATGTCGAGGCATTCAGGACAAAACTGATGCTAATTGAAGGACAAGTGAAAGTTTCTAACTTGGTTCATTTCCCATGTGAAAAATTTCATAAAGGATATGAAGCAGAATTTCCTTGTTCATTTGCAGTAGAAATCATTAATGATTTGACGGTTTCAAAACGATTTTTTGATCTTGATGGAAAAAACGGAATAAATAAAACTGTTTCAAAATCATTTGACAGCAGTTGAAACACTGCCAAGTTAGTTTGAAATAGAAATTATGATCTCCAATCAGATGATCTCCAATCAGATGATCTCCAATCAGATGACACGATGAAAGAAAAGTATAGAGAAGAAAATCTGATGCAGTGTTATAAATCTTTACAATCTGAACAATTTCCGGATTTGAAGTGATTTACTTGTACTTTCATATCAGTTTTTGGTACAACGAACCTTTATGAACAAACACTTTCATAAATGAAATATATCAAGTCCAAATAAACTATACAGCCTTATACAGTACTGGATGTATTATCTCTGTGTAATGTATTTCCACATAACTAAATAAAAGTAACCTGGTTTAAATCAGTACAAAAGAAATAGTAAATTGAGAAACTCATTATCTCTTATAATCAGTATTAGTGTCCATTACCACAAATATTTGTTTACAATAGATTAAAGCAGTGTTATAAAAACAGGCACAAAACTTAAGAAAAGTAAACATCAGAAATGCTCCAGTAATAGTGCAAAAATTTGACAAGTGTACATGTTAATTACTAACATTGATAAGAATACCACATTATCAACCCTGTGTCGCACAGAAATCTTTAATAAACAAAACTGGCTACGCAAAAACACACCTCTGAGAGAAGGAGGAGAGTACATGAGGGAAGAGTATCAGAGTACAAAAAACTGGATACATAGTCACAAACAAAACCCCCAAAATAATTCACAGTATAAAAATTATGCTTTCCATCCTAGCTCCTTGGTATCTCCCAAGTTGCTGCTTGCTGATATTACGTCACTCCCAGTTGATCGTCTAATACCTGTCCAACTAGCTGTTTAATACGTGTTCATCTTGTGGTGTACCAGTCACTGGTGTATATTGTGTGTGACTTATAGTGTACCAATCACTGGTGTATATTGTGTGTGGCTTGTAGTATACCAGTCACTGGTGTATATTGTGTGTGGCTTGTAATATACCAGTCATTGGTGTATATTGTGTGTGGCTTGTAGTATACCAGTCACTGGTGTATATTGTGTGTGGCTTGTAGTATACCAGTCACTGGTGTATATTGTGTGTGGCTTGTAGTATACCAGTCACTGGTGTATATTGTGTGTGACTGGTAGTATACCAGTGACTGGTGTATATTGTGTGTGACTGGTAGTATACCAGTCACGGGTGTATATTGTGTGAGGTAATACACCCACTGTTATTGTAATCACTTAAGTCAAATAATAAGTGAAAGGGGTTGTAATAACAACAGATATGTGTCTGTATTTCGAGGAAATGTTTTAGTTTTCTCGGCGATGGTTTATTAATGGAGGTACATGTTTTATTATTTATTATTATGCTTGTATTAATGTCATAATAAAGGTTTAAAAGTGAGCTTATTACTTTATAGTGAATATTATACAGGTTATATTTTAGGTATCCTCAAAAGGAGACTTTTTAAATGTTTGCTTAATTTTTTCTCTCGTTTTTTTCATCCAACTTTTTTTTTTTCTATTTTGTTCACAACACGAGAAAGCCTCATCCAATCGGCTTCAAATTTTCAAAGCTGGTGTACGGTAACCAGGGCAAGTTTCTTGGAACACTTAGGAAGGGCAGGCGTCCTTTGACCAAATTTGTGGAATGCATTTCAGGATTCCTGGAACGACTCAAGTAACTTACTAAACCTTTTTGTAAGTTACTTGAAACTGTCACGTTTGTGTGTAAAATAGTGGGGAATTTTTATTCCGTTAAATCACGTTAAGTATATTGGAGTCTGCATCTGAAAGGTTTCAGTATGTAATGGGTAATGTATCTTATGACCAGGATAGTACACTTTAAGTTTAGTTTGCTGGTAGATTTGTCAACTTAGTTTATAGATGTTTGAATCATTGTAATGCACCTTGTGTAAACAATCAACTAGAGACTTATTAAAGCATCAAGTGTCAGTTTACGTGGTGTGTGATGCTTGTCTTTAATACATTTACAAGCTTTATCATAGCTCTAACCTCGACGGATACACATAACTTGTTTTGTCATAAAGAGAAAGACATAACTTCTATCATGCTTCAGACATAACAAGACATACCTGTTTTTGCCACTTGTAGTCACATGCTATCATTGATGCCATGTGCCGGCAGTAGATGGTGTCTTGACTTAGGGATTCCTGGTGGCTTGACAAACTACCATTTTCCTTCACGGACTTGGAATCTTGCAGAGCATCACCAGATGCCACAGTGATGCTAGGTAAGACCACTGGAACCAACAGTGTTGCTACAATGATGGTGTTGATGGTAGTGCTGGATGGTTGATGCATTGTGAACCTGTCACCATAAATCAACATTATTAAGTACAACTAACTGTGCCAACTAGTATTAAGTAGATACCAGTGACTTACTGTCCACAATGAAGATATATGACTAGCGTTTGTTTTACTCTGTGTACAGCTTTACACACACACACACACACACACACACACACACACACACACACACACACACACAACACACACACACACACACACACACACACATTTTCAAAAAAGGAGACAGAAAAGAGGCACTAAACTATAGACCTGTGTCATTGACGTGTATAGTATGCAAAATTATGGAGAAGATTATCAGGAGAGTGGTGGAGCACCTGGAACGGAACAGGAGTATAAATGCCAACCAGCACGGATTCACGGAAGGCAAATCCTGTGTCACAAACCTTCTGGAGTTTTATGATAAAATAACAGAAGTAAGACAAAAGAGAGAGGGGTGGGTTGATTGCATCTTCTTGGACTGCAAGAAGGCCTTTGACACAGTTCCTCACAAGAGATTAGTGCAGAAGCTAGAGCATCAGGCGCATATAACAGGAAGGGCACTGCAATGGATCAGAGAATACCTGACAGGGAGGCAACAACGAGTCATGGTACGTAATGATGTATCACAGTGGGCACCTGTGACGAGCGGGTCCCACAGGGGTCGGTCCTAGGACCAGTGCTATTTTTGGTATATGTGAACGACATGACGGAAGAGTTAGACTCAGAAGTGTCCCTGTTTGCAGATGATGTGAAGTTAATGAGGAGAATTAAATCTGATGAGGACCAGGCAGGACTTCAAAGAGACCTGGACAGACTGGACACCTGGTCCAGCAAATGGCTTCTTCGAATTTAATCCTGCCAAATGCAAAGTCATGAAGATAGGGGAAGGGCACAGAAGACCACAGACAGAGTATAGGCTAGGTGGCCAAAGACTGCAAACCTCACTCAAGGAGAAAGATCTTGGGTGAGTATAACACCGAGCATGTCTCCGGAAGCACACATCAATCAGATAACTGCTGCAGCATATGGGCGCCTGGCAACCTGAGAACAGCATTCCGATACCTTAGTAAGGAATCATTCAAGACACTGTACACCGTGTATGTCAGGCCCATACTGGAGTAATGCAGCACCTGTTTGGAACCCGCACTTGATAAAGCACGTCAAGAAACTAGAGAAAGTACAAAGGTTTGCAACAAGGTTAGTTCCAGAGCTAAGGGGAATGTCCTATGAAGAAAGATTAAGGGAAATCGGCCTGACGACACTGGAGGACAGGAGGTCAGGGGAGACATGATAACGACATATAAAATACTGCGTGGAGTAGACAAGGTGGACAAGGACAGGATGTTCCAGGGAGGGGACACAGAAACAAGAGGCCACAATTGGAAGTTGAAGACACAAATGAGTCAGAGAGATAGTAGGAAGTATTTCTTCAGTCATAGAGTTGTAAGGCAGTGGAATAGCCTAGAAAATGACGTAGTGGAGGCAGGAACCATACACAGTTTTAAGACGAGGTTTGATAAAGCTCATGGAGCGGGGAGAGAGAGGGCCTAGTAGCAACCGGTGAAGAGGCGGGGCCAGGAGCTAGGACTCGACCCCTGCAACCACAAATAGGTGAGTACACACACACACACACACACATACACACACACATGAAGAAACTAGAGAAAGTGCAAAGGTTTGCAACAAGACTAGTCCCAGAGCTAAGAGGTATGTCCTACGAGGAGAGGTTAAGGGAAATCAACCTGACGACACTGGAGGACAGGAGAGATAGGGGGGACATGATAACGACATACAAAATACTGAGAGGAATTGACAAGGTGGACAAAGACAGGATGTTCCAGAGATTGGACACAGTAACAAGGGGACACAGTTGGAAGCTGAAGACACAGATAAATCACAGGGATGTTAGGAAGTATTTCTTCAGCCACAGAGTAGTCAGTAAGTGGAATAGTTTGGGAAGCGATGAAGTGGAGGTAGGATCCATACATAGCTTTAAGCAGAGGTATGATAAAGCTCATGGCTCAGGGAGAGTGACCTAGTAGCGATCAGTGAAGAGGCGGGGCCAGGAGCTCGGACTCGACCCCCGCAACCTCCACTAGGTGAGTACAACTAGGTGAGTACACACACAGTGAAGAGGCGGGGCCAGGAGCTATGAATCGACCCCTACAACCACAAATAGGTGAGTATACACATGGTGACAGCAGTAAGACAAGAGAGAGAGGGGTGGGTGGATTGCATTTTCTTGGACTGCAAGAAGGCGTTTGACACAGTTCCACACAAGAGATTGGTGCAAAAACTGGAGGACCAAGCAGGGATAACAGGGAAGGCACTACAATGGTTTCGGGGAAATCCTTGTCAGGAAAAACAGCAGCGGTCAGGTACGTGGGGGGGTTTTTCCAGAGGGGGGAAACCCTTTGTAAAAGGGGGTCCCCGGGGGGGTCATTCCTAGGACCGGGTCCCTTTTTTGGTATTTTTTGAACGAAAATGACAAAGGGAAAGACTCTGGGGTTTCCCCTGTTTGAGATGACGGAAAGTTGAGAAAAAAAATACCCCCCAAATTCAAAGCCAAACGGGAAAACTACAAAGGGATCTGGACAGGCTGCAGACCTGGCCGGGCAATTGGCTCCTGGAGTTAAATCCCCCCCAAGGGTGAAAAAGTCTTAAAGGGATTGGGGGGGGGCAAAAAAGGCCGGAGGGAAATTTCAGCTAGGGGGTCGAGACTACAAACCTCACTCAAGGAAAAAAAATCTTGGGGTGAGAAATAACCCGGGGAAAACATCTCCTAAGCGCACATAAACCAAAAAAATTTTGCTGCGAAAAGGGCGCCTAGAAAACCCCTCAGAACAGCATTCCGCATTAAAAAAGGGAATCGTTCAGGACCCTTAAAAACCGTATACTTTTTGGGCCCCATATTGGAGAAAAGGCGGCACCATTTTTGGACCCCAACCAAACCAGGCACTTAAAGGGAAACTAAGAAAAGTGAAAAAGGTTTTGGGCAAAAAGACTAGCCCCAGAGCAAAAGAGGTATGTCCTACAGGAGGGGTTTAAAGGGGAAATAAACCTGCCGCCCATTTGGGGGGCCCAGAGTATAGGGGGGACAGATAACGACTTTAAAAACCCCCCGAGGGGAATTTGGGCCAAGGGGGACAAAGAAAAGGATGTTTCAGAGATTGGCAAAAGGAAAAAGGGGGACCCCTTTTAAAGTGAAGACACAGATAAAATCACAGGGTTTTTTTAGGAAGTATTTTCTTCAGCCACGAGTAGCAGAAGGGGAAATTTTTTTTGGGAAGAAATGTATGGAGGCGGGAAATTCCCATACATAGCTTTAAACCCCGGGAGGTTTTAAAAAGCTCAGGGCTCAGGGAGAGTGACCTAGTAGCAAATTCGTAAAGAGGGGGGGGCCAGGCCGGATTTCGACCCCCGAAAACCTCAACTGGTGAGTAAAACTAGGTGAGAAACTCGTTGGAGTTGAACTTTTAAAACTTTCCCTTGGGTTTTAAAGTTTTAACTTAAGAGTTTAAAATTGGATGTTGGAAAAAGGAAAAAAAGATTTTAATGATGAAGGTAAAACTAAGCTTAAAAAAACAAAAATTTTTAAATAAAATCGAAATTTAAAAGAAAAAATTTTATGAAATTTTTACTAGATAGCAACCTTTTTGGGATGCGGGGGTTTTTTTTTCCGGGCGAAAAAAAAACAAATTGAAAAGATTGAAAAGGACTCGAAAAAAAATCATGACCAATTTCGTTAACCGAAAATATTTTTTTTCGTACTTCTCTTTATTATCTGACCCCTCAAGGAAGGTTTTTCCCTTTATGTTGGTGAGGGGCTCTTTGAGTTTGGGAATTGGGTCTGTGCTCCGGGTTCCCCCAATTAAAACCTTAATGCCTTTCCCCATCCCCCCCCAGGGGGCTGTATTAAACCTCCTGGTTTTTGCGCTTCCCCCCCTTTTATTTTTAAAAATAATAAAATCTGAAATTTTCTGATTTTGTTTTTATTACTAGACAAATAATGAAATGCACTTTGTGAATTAAGAAAATTTTGTACTTTTTACCCTTTCCACCCTAAACCAGCACACATGTATGGTTTTCCCAAACCCATAAACATAAATTTTTCCTTTAGACCAGCCCCGTCAGGAATAGGCAGTTTTAACCCATAAACTTTGCCCCCGGGGTTTTTGCCAAAAATTTCTTTTCCCCCCGCCCTTCCTTGGGGACCAACCCGCACGCTCATCTTAAAACATTCAGGCGACCTTCCCCAACCGATCAAAAAAAACCCCTCCATCCGAGGCAAGAAAAAAAATTTTTGGGGGTAAACTTTTTTTTTCTTCAATAAAGAACCCCACAACAAAACCATTTGGCGTTCTAATACAAAAGTCAATCACGGGGGCCCTTTAAACTTTTTCTACCCCCCTGAAAAATTAAGTCGCTTGATTGGGAAATCTGCATTAAATTTTTAGTTGATTTTCTTTCAGTAAAAAAGGTTTTTACAAAAAAATCTTTGGTAAGGGAATGGGGCCCCCCTCGCCGCTTGGCCAACTTGGGGGCATGGAACAAACCGGAAACTGAACACTTCCCCCAACGTCATCCCAAACCGCGTCAAAATTTGGGTTTCGTTATGTACGACGTCCCATAAAAAAACTCCCAAACGTTTTGAAAAAACGGAATCTTTTGGGAGGGCTCCCAAAACAGTTGAAACCCGGGTATCAAGTTTTCCCCTAGAAGAAGAGTCCAGAAAAAAGTCCCTTTTTTCTAGAGTCCTTTTTTCACAATTGATAACCAAATTTAAGATTTTCCAGTTTACCGTTTAAACCCAAAAAAAAAAATGGTCTCAAACCCCCTCCCCATTCCGGGCCCAAAAACTTTAAAACCAAAAAAAGGCACCCCGCAGATTTTTTCCCCAGAAAACAAAACCCGGGAAATTTTTATTTTCCCGCAAATTTTTTTACGGGGTTTTACCCTTCACCAAAACCTTTACTGATCTTTTTTATTTTCCTTCCTTTTTCAAACCCAAAGGGCCCC